GCTTTGCCGTCCTCCAAGAAAGCAAGACACTGACAAAGACTGAAAATGATTTAGAGTAAGAATGATTTTGTTTTAAAATGATTAAATAAAAACCGTTTCCTAGAGAATACTCCTTACTACTTTCATTGTTTCATTGTATCATGTCATATTTGGTGGGTGCTTGTGCGGAGAAGAACCAGAGCCCGGAAATAAGTGAAAAAATAGCAAAGGAACTCTGAAGAAACAAACGGAAAATAATTTTTAGTTCCAAATTTCATAGTAGTCCGAATTTGTTCCTCTTTATTCGAACAATTTAAAATGTACAATCACATATTAAATGGTCTGGTTAGGCCTCAGGACGCCATATTGAATTAAAAATTGTTTCCTCGATAGCGTGTCACGTGAACTTGAATCTGTGCAGCGATTGGCTATTGGTTTGTTTTGGTCTCGGTTATCAAATTAGATAACTACCCCGGACTGCTTGAATACCCCCCGCGCCCCCTATTTAATGTTGGGACATGTAACGACAATTACGCACAAAAACAATTGAGTTTTGTCCAACATTGATCCAGGGGCGGGGGGGACAAGTACAAAAAAGGTAAAAATTGGTAACCTTCCCAACATTTTTCACGATGATTGTGTGAGAATAGACAATTGTCTTTAACGCTTGTAAAACATGTGGCTTTTAACATTTCGCTGAGATTTCTCACCCTGGAAATCTATTGATAATGTACTTTACAATGTGTATATAAAATGGAATAAGGCTTTAGTTTCGTTAAAATCACAATCATGAGATCCTTGTATCTCACATGTGTGACATCTCATAGCGTGACCACAAAATCCACTAGCACGTGTAAATTGTTTTTTTAAGAAGAACTTTTATGTTGCTTACTTTTCCGCGATAGATAAAAGGAAGGTTCCTTGTTTGGAGAAAGTGGAAAGAATCGCCATAGCTTGTCTGTTTCATTACATAAAATTAGAAGACATGAGAGCAATTAGTGTTAAATGTCACCCGTTTGTTGTTATGCATTTTTGCGTCTGTTCAGTTACACAGTTTCACTTTGTGTCATTTCAGTGAGTGCGATGATTTAAAGACGAAACAAAGAGAAACAACTTGAATAACAGCTACAGTTAGCAGGAGGCTTAGGGACAATAAACGTTTTCGAGAAACACCGGAAAATTCTAGTTGCACACGTATGCATGACACCTGTGGGCACGCACGTATTCCAGATGCTTAAATGAGATGGGTTTCTCGTTCTTACAAGCTAGAGAAAAGGGTCTTCTGAAAGAAAGTGACAAAAAAGAGCGGCTTCAGTATGCAAGGAAAATGGCACGCTACGAACAAGATTTCCCAGGTTTTAGGACTGACGAAGTAGCTTTTTATTTAGATGGTGTGTCTTTCGTATACAACACCAATCCCATGAGCACAGCAATGGCTCCAAAGGCAAGAGTATGGCGTCAAAAAAGCGAAGGCTTGCAAGTAACCAGCAAAGGCTCGAAAGATTTAGCGGGAGGAAAAAGGCTGCACGTAATGGTTGAAATAGCTTACGGAAAAGGAGTTACTCTCAGAGAGCCCTATGACAAATTGAATGGCCAGTTCTTTGCTAATTTCATTAGGCAGCATTTTAATTTATGTTTCGGACGTGCAGGGCCAAAACAAGTTGGAAAGAGTCTATTTGTTATGGATAACGATCCAAGTCAGGTGTCCAAATTAGCTATGAGTGCTCCAAGAGAAATTGAATGCAAACTTTCGAAGATACCTTCTCGTTCGCCAGACCTGAACCCATGTGAATCTATTTTTCATATTGTCAAAGATTCATTAGATGATGAAGCGATTGAAAAACACATCAACAAAGAATCATTTGGCGACTTCAAAAACAGAGTGTTGCGCACATTTAGCAAGATGGATACTGTTGTCATTGATAAAACCATAGAAAGTATGTCCAATAGAGTTCTATCAATTATTGAAGGAAAAGGTTGTCGAACCAAGTATTAAACAAACGTAAACAAGGTATTTTAATGTTACATACTTCAGTTCTTACACTATATTATGTTTACATTAAGCGACGATGTCATAAGGGGAATAATACAAATTGGAGCTTCAACAATTTACAGTGTGATTATCTTTTCACGCTAATGGTGTCACCTGTCAATCATTAAGCTATTTTGAGAACAGTAAACCACAACGATTTTCACAATACTCCACCACATTACTCCATAAGAAAGTCCCAAATACATCACCAATGAACCAACATTCTTGCAAACAAAGTACAAAAATATGTAAACCGTATTAGAATATGTTCCATTTTTCCTTCATTTTTCTACAGAAATAAATGTAACTAGTGATTTTCAACATTACTCCAATGAAACAGTGTCTTGTAAAGGTCAATTAGTTAAGTCAAGTTTAATTTAAATGCTAGCTGCGGAGTAATGTGGTATTTTCCTTAGAAAAACGCTAAAATGGCCCTAAAAAGGCATAGCACTAACTCCTTTCAACGTCCTACACAATTCAATATAACTTTTTTCTCTTTGGAGCTACTATAAACGAAATAATTTCGGCTACTTAAATGGAGTAATGTGGCCTCCCATGTTTGCACCTTTTGACTCATTGTCTAATCAGATTAGCGAAGACAATACACGCGCTACCCTAAGTTATTTTAAAAGACTCTACTCAGTGATGTTGTCTAAAATCAGTTTTGAAAAGCAGTGACCACAAGCAATTAACTGGAGTTGTTCAGCTGGTGGAATTTGTCTCCAGAAGTGGAAAAATCTCCACCTTACATTCATCATTTCAGTGTTTGCCACGCAAACACTTCTCCCCTTTATGTAAACAATTGGCGCGTCTGATGTTGCGAAGATAGGGGTATCATTCCTAAGCTCAATGTCCCGTTTCGAGAAATTTTTGAGAGCTGGTAAATGCACTATATCTCCCTCTAGCAACAGGAGCATGTCAGCCCATGCTATTATGGAGGGTTTCCACCGAAAATCATTCAACATAATAATTTCCGCCTCTTCTGCACCAACCCAGGCAAAAGTTCCAGTGGCGGGATTACAAAAAGTGCCATAAATGCTTTTCAATGGGGTGAGCACAAAACTTTTCCCGCAGTTGGAAACTCCATGTATAAACAGGTTTCTGTACTTTCCTCTTCCTTTTTCCAGCAACGTCAAGACAGCTTGGGCGAAAACACTGACGCTGATTTCATTTCTATTTAGGAGGTTAACTTCCGCCTCTAGCCACTTCCCCTAACAGTTGGCAAAGCATTCGGCAGAGTAGCTTTCATGTAGAAGTTGCATGCGAGTCTTCTGTGACCTTTCATACTTCGCTTCTGCAGTTGCCAACTCCTGCGCGATAGCCAGACACTCATCTACTCTTTTCCACCCCTGTTACATATAAATTCCACCAGCTCTGTCTTCCCTTCCCGATTTTGTGAAGCTGCTATAGACAGAAGCTGTAGCCGTGATTTTACGTTATTAGCCTGGATAAACTGGGTAACCTCGTACACTGAAAGACCACGCTTTCGTTTCGTCTTTCTCTTGTTTCCTGAGATTGCCTTCTCAGTTCTCGGTAGACGCGCATTGCTTAGGTCTGGGTGACCCTCGTAGTGAACACAGAAGTCATCTTCCTTTGTGGCGTATTTGTACGCAGAGTAGTATGTGTTGTGTACGGCGCTAAAGTTCACCCTTATGCCGTAGCGGTCATCTAAGAATTGGCGTACCTTCAGCCAGCGAGCACGTTTTTCCAGTTTCATTGCCATGTGATAATGGGAATTGCTCTCTGAAACACCTGCATCAGCGTGTAATTCTTGCGCTACAACCCACTGCACAACCTTAACACCCGTCATTTCCATCCACCCTAGTGAAATCTTTTCGGCAAATGCTTCCCTTGTCACAACTTTTTTTTACATCGGCTCTGCTATATGTCACAAGATACACAAGTCGCTACTCACGGTTTCACAAACTATCATTTACCTCTCCCATTTTCAGGGTTATTATCATTGGCCGTCGACCTTTCAAACAGGCCAAAACAAACTATCTTTCGCATTACAAAACAATTTCGACTCCTCCCCTTCACATAAATGACAGCAGAACTTTAAACAAGTGAAATATTTTACAGTTGTCACTCAATGAAGCCGTCCCGACACAAACATAATCATAACAATCCATGCCCTTATGTTCCAAAAATAATAAGCATAACCTAATTGTATTAGCCTTTTTATTTCGCCTGAAATGATAAAAACAACGCACAGTAACTCTTACTTTTCACGAGAGTACCAATTCTGTGTCTTTTTTAAAGAAGTGCTTTAGTACAGAAAGTCGTCGACTTTTGTTTCTTCATGACCACACCCAGAATTTCAAGACAATCACGGACAAAAGTAGTTGGGAAGGTGGAATAACTTAACAACATTATTGCTCCATTTCATACGCCTTATGTCTATGTTCAAAAAGATTATTTGTTCTTCTCCTGAATATCCCCCATGCCCCCTATTCAATGTTGGGACATGTAACAACAATTACGCACAAAGACAATTTACAGGGCATCTGACAGGATGCGGTGGTGCGGATCCGCATAATTGACCAACTTCCGCATCCTCCGCATCTTGAGGGCATTTTTCCGCACAATACTAAAAAATTGCTCCATATAAGCAAAGGTGGAATTGCTTACCGTCCTCAGAAACAAAATTAGTGAAGAGATTGATCATTTTGAAGAAATATTTTGCCCAAATCAGCGAGAAAATACTCTGTTTGTTCGTTGCTTGTTCGTACACCACATTTTTTAACCCCCCAGGCGTTCCATGCACTTTCTGGGGTGTCCTGGAAACTAGTTTTTTATAATGCTAATTTCTATTGGATAGATGGCGTTTGTATTTTAGCCAATAGCAGGAACTGATAGAAACTGCGTTTGATACGAGCGCGGGAAAGTCGAACGCGAGAGACGGCCTTTGAAAACATGTAGACCTGTTTAAATCGATCTGTTTAGTAAAGTGTATTTTCTAGAGTCTCTTTCACTCCTTCTGTTGAGTATGGATAAATTTGTTGTTCGTGAGCCGAAAAAGGATCCTCATTTAGCTGTTAACAAGTCAGCAAAAGATCGTGCTGCGCAGTATCCTGGGGTTTTTCACGCGGACAATGGTCTCCTTTTCTGTTCCACTTGTAATATTGTTTTAGATCACTCAATGAAGTCTGTGCTCGATAAGCACTTGGAATCTGTGACACATAAGAAGAAAGTCAGCAACAGTGATGGAAAGCAGCAAACCCTGAAAACGGCATTTCAGTGCAAAACGAAGCCACAAGCTGAGAAGGTGAAAGTGTGTGAGGAGTGGATTCGAGCCTGCACGCCAGCAAATGTACCACTTCACAAGTCCGATAGCCCGATCATGAGACAATTCTTAGACACCGGGTGGTAAACGGGGAGCTATTCCAAAGGCTTCACAACCGGGACTATTATCTTTTGATGTGTATCAAGTTGAAAAAAGCGAGTTGAAAAAAAAAAAAGATCGAAGGCAAACCTGTAGCACTGATGGTGGATGAGTTGAGTGATGATGAGGGGAGGTACGTACTTGACATAATGGTTGTCATTCTTGATTTTGATGAGTTGTCTCCTTCTGGGAACACTGTGGCTTATTTATTAGATACGCATTTCTTAAGTGCAACTAATAACAAAACGGTATCTCAAGCGGTCGTAAAAACGGTGAATGACTTCAACATTGAGTTTGATAACGTGCGTGTATTCAATTCCGACAACGTTGGATACATGAAGAAGGCATTCAATGACACACTGTCGTGTCTGTTTCCTCTGTGTGTGCACATTACCTGTAATAGTCATGTGGTTAACCTGGTGGCTTCTGACTTCAAGAAAGGCTTTAAAGAGGTCAACGAATTTGTGAAGTGTTTTAGGAATTTGTTCTTTATTCCAAGCGGCAGAAAAAGCAGATTTCTTGCGTTCTTGCGGAATGCTCTTGGCCGTGAGGAGGGAGTCAAAATGCCACCAAACCCAAACACAAAAAGTTGGGGGGCATGGTTCGAGTCCGTTCTTTACCATGCAGAACACTACCTACTTTTTAATGACTTTATAAAAAAAGAGGAACTTGATCGAGGCAGGAATGTTGCATGCAACTCCCTTCTTCGCCTGGAAGAAATGTACAGCGATGAGATCTTTATGAAGAAGCTTGGTGCGCAACTGGAATTTTTGAAAGAGAAGTCACCAACCCTTAAAATTTACATTGACTTTTTTCAACAGAAGGTGCCACACATAACGCAGGTTCACAACAAGATGGAAAGTCTCATGTACTATCTCGAGCAAAACACTCACTTGTCGGAAGACGATCTTGCTTTTTGTTTTCAAAGCAACATCTTCAGTTGTGAGGAGAGGGAGGAACTTGTTCTTCTTGCTAATTCAGCCTTCACTTCTGCCCATGAGAAACTACGAAAGTATGTGGTGGCAGGTGCTCAGCCAGCCTTAGAGTTTCTAAGGCAGGTACGTTTACTTGATCCAAGAAATCTCGTCTTTGCAGACCGCACCATTGATGCAAACGATAGCATTCCTGGATTTGATGCAGTGTCAAGAAACGAATGGGATCTGTATGTAAACCATCTTGGTCCTGAAGCTATCAAAGGCAGCACAGATGGCAACCTAGATCTTGTTCTTTTTTGGAAGTCATGTGCAAGCGACCTTCCCGAGCTCTACAAGATAGCCTCGTGCTATTGCACCGCTACAGCAGGCTCTTACGATGTAGAACGGGCATTTTCTGCATATGATGATATTCTTGATGACAAGTGATGATCCCTAAATCAAAGCACAATCAAAGCATTCCACTTTTTAAATTGGAATCTCCGGGTCCAGTTTTCAGATGAAAAGAAAAAGGATCAACCATCAGCCACAGTGCCCCTCTTGAATAAGCGAATGCCCCAAAGCACCGTAAAACAAACTGCCGAGAAACAGGAACCAAACAGCACTCCAAAGTCACATGTACCAAAGAAAGAAATGAAACAATCCCAGTACACTGAAGACATGGGAAAACCAAAGACACATGTACCAAAAGAAGAAATGAAACAAGCTCAGCACACTGAAAGCATGGGAAAACCAAATGACCAAAAAAGGGGAACAAAAAGAAAAATGTCAGATTCCGCCGTTAAAACGAAGAAACCGAAAGAAATGAGCGGGAAGTCTACTATTGCATGTATTAGTAGATTTTGTTTTAGCGGAAGGTCAGCCAGTACTTTGTCTGCAACGTGCACAGTGGACTATGGACTAAGCCATGACATAGTAACTGTATTTGCGGGAGAAGATACCTGCGTCTTTCCTCTGTACAAAGAGCCTCTCGTACAATTTTTGCTTGATGACATGACCAGGTTTAAAGGAAGCAACTTAACAGATAAGGAGGACTTACAAGGTCTTATCGGCGGTAATACGACTGATAAGGAGAATTACCTTAATAACTTCATTATTGACGAGTACTTGAAACTCCTTGCAGCTGAAGCTTCTGCACAGGGTTTGAAAGCTGAGACAATTGGATGGGAGCCTTTTGAGAAGGCAGCTGGTCTGAAACCAGCCAGTAACATTTTAAAGGGGAAGGCTCCACTGCTGGAACAAGACATCGTCCTTGTACCTCTCAATCCAGGACAAATTGAACATTGGTCGCTTTTAGTTGTTAAGCCCAAAGAAAGGGAAATGTTTGTTCTCGACAGCCTAGCAGCATCATTTGTGAAGCCATCCACAAAAAACGCAATCGTGAAGATGTGCAATCTCCTACAAGAAATTGATCCTAAGCTAAAGCCCGAAGAATGGAATTTCTCTACAAACACACCACAGGACATTCCGCAACAATCAAATTGTTATGATTGTGACGTTTTTGTTTGTGCATACGCTAGATGCCTACTTTTGAAATCGTCCCTGCCTGATGACTTCACAAGCTTTCGAAAGCATATGGTTCTAGAGCTACATGGGGGTAAAATTCAAGGCTTTGACGAGTTACCTACACCGCAAGAGGAAACGTATTATGCAGTTGAATATCAGAAGTCGTTTTACATTGGCCGTGTCCTTCAAAGATCTGATGATTCACATGCCATGTACAAGTTTCTCCACAAATGCAGTTCCCAAATGTTTGACTGGCCAAAGCGCGATGACATCGAAACTTGCCATGATTCGTGTGTCTTCTACGGGCCTGTGTCTGTTGTCGGAAATGCTCCATTTACTAGCCCACAGTTGATGGAGATAGATCAAGTATTTAACTGGCTACGAAAGAGCAGGAAAACAAAGAAATGAAGTAATGATGGAAGCCATTCTTTTAATGGACTTTTCAATCCGTATGTACGGAATGTTGTCTATTGAAAAGCCGAGAACGTTTGTTGTTACTTTTTTTAATTGTGTATTTAAAATGTTTTTGATGCGGTCACTGACAGTATTATTCATTCAGCGCTATTGAAGTTATGGTTACCGTAGGAGTTTTGATGTTTGATGGAAGCTGTCAATTTAGGACTTTAAAATCCGTACCTACGAAATGGTGTGCATTGACAAAGAGAAAACAATTATATTACTTTTTGAATTCTTTATTTTAATGTTCTTTTAATAAGTTATTGTACTTTAAGGGCGTGTAATTTGTCATACTGTACCTCAAAATGAAAGATAAGGCACATATTACCAAAAACTGTAATATCGATTTACAAAAGGGCGTTTGAAACTGTCTTTTCGAAGGAAAGAAATTTAATGATCTTGTTAACTACTTTGTCTGTGACTCCTGGTATTAACGACATCCCCACTTTACTGTTAAGTGTACTTTCTTTTGTGAATGTAAAAAAAAAATGAAACTTCAAGCCAAGGATTCAGCAAGAAAGTATTATACATTGCTTATTATGGGAAATAAATTTAACTTGAACTACAGTGATCGGGGTTCACTCGATAATTGGTATTCACAGAACATCTGCAGGAAACGGAACATTTTGGGACTGCTTCCGTGTCCAGTTTTCCTCGTCCGCTCTAATGCCTGGCTGCTAAGCTTAAAATGTTTCCACAATTGAAGAACAAAATCATGTCGAATCTTGGCGTTAAGTCTAAGGAAAAACTGCTTTAAATGAAGAAATACCTGTCAAAGAATGGCAGAAAAAGGTCAAGCATGATAACAAGCATTATGTTTAAAAGATGTAATGAACTCAAATTCTTGGTAAGAGCTTGTTGATATTTCCGTTTATCGTTTTTACCGTACTGCGTTGAAATGAGCGGCGAGCCGTGATTGTTTTGTTAGAAGTGAGCGGCGAAGCCGTGATCGTTTTTTTAGAAATGAGCTGCGAAGCCGCGATCGTTTCGTTGGAAATTTCCGCATAATCTGTTGTCTTTTCCGCATAATTGGTACTTTCTTCCGCATAATATTGCCCGAAATTTCCGCATAATTTTTCATTTTTTTCCGCACCCTGTCAGATGGCCTGCAATTTAGTTTTGTCCAATATTGATCCAGGGGCGGGGGGTGGGGGGGAAGTACAAAAAAGGTAAAACTTGGTAACCTTCCCAACATTTTTGACGATGATTGTAGGTGATCATCCCAGAATACCTCTTTTGTTTGGGGTGATGCGGAAGCAACAGCCAGTCAGCATTGTGCTGAAATTTCATGGAAACGGAGTTAAAAGCCTTACCCTGATCAAAGCAGCAAAGGAAAAAAAGATAGTGAAATGGACAGGCAGAAAATTTCTAATGTGGCTATAGAAGTCACAGATGCTCTACAACATATGCACTAATGTGGCTGCAAAGAGATTTTCAATAAACTATCTGTCTAGCCATCTATCTTATATCTCCGTGGCTATATATGCCCGACAGCCAGGGTTGGTCTTAAAAAATTGGAATTTCTACTGATATCAGATGAATTTCACTATTCATTATCAGGATTCTTTGTAACTATGATAATTCAGAGGATAAACTTAAGAAAAAGAAAATTTCCCGTGTCAGTTAAACCCTGTTATTCTTGGCAAAATCATTAGGCAAAATCGTTAATGAGTCTTGGGGAGAAAAGGGTAAACTAGTCAGACGTGGAAGGCACAACCAACAAAACAGTTTTTACCATGACCTTAAAATGAAAGAGGACGTAGCACTAGAAGAAGACTTCAACAAATTCATTACAAAATCCAATGAGAGATGCCATTAAATGATGGATGGAGCATAGTCTGAGAGAATAACAAGGTCTCATTTACTATTTATTTATTCATTCGCCCTGAGTGGTAGTCATTTAGAAATTAGCGAGGATTTACCAAGGACAGGAATGAGAAAACTTTCACAAACCTGGAATGTTTCATCCTCTCTCATGGTTGCGAGTATCGTTTGGTGAAGCTAATGGACATACAAGCCCTGGAAATCACCCTTTTCGAGAAAGAGTGAAACTCGTTTTGGACATTTTTATATTTTTTTAAGTGCTTAACACCA